ATAGAGGGAGGGGTCGATGGAAATGAAGGTCGATGGCGTTATTTGAGCAAAGTGAGAAGCGACGTGGGAGGGGTCGCGTTTGATGGATGAATGTGTGAGATTTGGATCCCCAATGGGTCGTCGGATGGATGGCGAAAGTAGAAGGGAGGACGATGATGCTGAAGTTGGTCGTCGGGGCGTGTGGCTGCTATATCTCGAGGCTATTCAACAATACTCGTATTAGTTTAATTGATCCAACGGGTGGTCGACAGCATCAGCTTGAACGCGTTTTTGCATCGACAGCAAGCAGTGTGACATTGAGCACCATTGGTGCGAGGAGTCTTCCGGGGTTTAGGGAGATTGCACGAGAGGTCAGGACTTACACAGCAGCAGGGTCGATGGGCCTTCCGCCGCGACGAGTGTCAACACGGCGACAAAGGAAAGAGCGTCGATGAGGTCGGAAGGGATGGAGAAGCGGGAGGATGCTGCGGCTTGAGCGTCGGTCTCGGTCGGGAGGTGGTGAGAGGGCCAGTGTGTCTGGAGTCTGAAGTCTGGAGACTGGCCTGGTGTTGGGAAAGGGCGAAGGCGGGAAGGGAAACAAGCAAAAAGCAGGGGAGCCCATTCACCCTTTCCCGGTGCAGCAGGCCTGTGCTGTGAGCGAGCGGGCACGGGGGAGACCAGTGCGGGATGAGCTCCTGGGTGCGCTGAATGCTGGATGCTGGGCTGCCAGGTGCTAGGTGCTGGGTACCTCCTGCGTGCTCTCTGCTCCTGCATGCTGCAACGTAGTTTGCTCGTTTCTGCTGCAAGGAGCTGGGGAGCCACGGCCTACCGGTACATCCTATTGGTCCCAGCTCAGTGGTAGTGGGCCTTGAGTGGAGGACCACGGAAAATGGGAGGAGGAATGGCCCGCTGCAGGCAAATTGAGGTTCCACATGATTGGTCTCTCTTGGACCTTGGCGGACAGACCACCCCTTTTTGGGTTTCGCCTAAGCAAGCCCCTCGGTAGAGGCATGCTAGCCTGGTTAAAAGCATCGGCTTTCTCATTTGCTTTCTCCAGCTTTCCCCAATCCAGTGCTTTGTCACCCACGATGCTTGAAGTTTGTCGTGATCTTAGTTTTGCTGTCTGGATGGCTCACAGGCTGACGCTCGCCCGAAATAGCCCAGCTCATGCTTTACTGTTCGTTGAACTCTATGCTCTCTACCAAGCTGAGATACCTTGCCTGTGTCAGGCATTATCGACCTTTTGGACGCCTGGACGACTCATGGTGTCTTGCATCTGTTGCCATTCGAAGCAAAGCTAGTGCGAGCCGAGCGGTCCACGCCGTCATCTCCCATCACCAGGTCAGGTCAGAACTGAGTTGGCCCATTCCTAAAACGACCTACATTCATCCATCATTGGGAAGGCAGGAGGCTTATGTAAGTCGAACTACATTGTCTTGATTGCCAATGAGGCACGGACCAAGGGCGATTTCACCAGGTACACAGCGGCGCTACAGTGCAAACTCAACGGCTCAGTAGCCCCAGTCTCACTCAACCCAAAGAGCTCAAGATCACCACCGACAACCTTGACTGAGTGTTTCTGAGCACGTCGTATGGGCGCTGAGGACTCCCTAACCAGCAACAAGCGCCATCAAGATCAATACTGAGAAGACTTCAGCCGACAACCACCCCATGCTACCTATGTAAAATTTGCTCGAAGGAATGCCACATGCCCTCCTGCAGAACACGCTGAGTCATCTCTAAGTCACGTGCAATCCGATACCCAACAAGGATCAGAGCGCACAGGTCACTGCTAGCCCCCGCCTCAAGGCACTCGCATGTAGCGGCCACACACGAATTTGAAAAAACTCATCGAGCCTGCAAGCACCGCAACAACCGCAGCGACCAGCCAAGTTTCGACATTTCGCTCGCGTCCCGGCTGCGCTGCATCATCCTCTTGACGTCTAGCGAAATACTCGCCCACCGCAGAGGAAGTTGCCCATCATGGTCAGTCGACAACATTAAGCCCCCAACGACAGGCAGGGCAGGACAGGGGGCGTGGAAGGACAGGATCGAGACCGGACGCGGAACGACCTACCCCTCTTCGTCCCTCGATCACAGGCGTCATAATCGACGACGACGACGACGACGCCCGCTTGCCCGCCCCGCCCCGCCATGTCACTACGTGCCCTCTTCGGATCCAGTACTGACTATTGTCCGTAGCCTCCTCCACCTCACCAGAAACCCGAGAACGTGCTCAAGCGCGCCCACGAGCTCATCGGCGTCAACCAGACCCCCGCCGCACTCACACTCCTCCACGAGCACATCACCTCGAAGAGATCACGCAATGTTCCCATCGTCTCCCTGGAGCCGGTGATGCTCCTGCTGGTTGAGCTCTCCGTCGAACAGAAGAAGGGAAAGCTGGCCAAGGATGCCCTCTACCAGTACAAGAACATCAGCCAGAACACCAACGTCGGCACCATCGAGGTAAGACTCTTGGCGGCAACATACTGGCGATGAGTCATAGGTCCTAACATCTCTGTTCACAGCTGGTCTTGAAGAAATTCATCGAGCTCGCCGCCGAGAAGGTCACTGCCGCCCAGGCCAAGGCCGACGAGGTCCAGTCGACCATTGACGCCTCCACGTCCACCACCAACGTCGAGGATCTCGAGGCCAGCGAGACGCCCGAGTCGATCCTTCTCGCCACCGTGTCTGGCGAGCAGTCACGCGACCGTACCGACCGCGCCATTGTTACTCCTTGGCTCAAATTCCTCTGGGAGGCCTACCGCACCGTGCTCGACATCCTCCGCAACAATGCTCGCCTTGAGATCCTCTACCAGAGCACGGCTATGCAGGCCTTTGACTTCTGCCTGAAGTATGCTCGTAAGACTGAGTTCCGCAGGCTCTGCGAGCTGCTACGCAACCACGTCCAGACGGCTGCCAAGTACTCGTCGCAGATGCACGCCATCAACCTGAGCGACCCCGACACTCTCCAGCGCCACCTCGAGACTCGCTTCCAACAGCTCAATGTTGCTGTCGAGCTTGAGCTCTGGCAGGAGGCCTTCCGCTCTGTTGAGGACATCCATACTCTGCTCAACCTGAGCAAGCGCCCTCCTAAGAACATTATGATGGCCAACTACTACGAGAAGCTTACCCGTATCTTCCTTGTCGGTGAGAACTACCTCTTCCACGCTGCGGCTTGGTCTAGGTACTACACTCTTCTCCGTCAGTCTGCTGCGCTGGTCGCGTCGGGCCAGGGCAAGAAGGCCGACAACCCTCCCGCCACGGATGCCGACCTTCAGAAGGCTGCCTCCTTCGTGCTCCTCTCCGCCTTGGCCATCCCCGTCATCAGCACCACCCGTTCCCGTGGTGCCATGGTCGACTTTGATGAGTCGAAGAAGAACAAGAACGCTCGTCTCACCCACCTGCTGGGCATGGCGCAAGCTCCCACCAGGGCTGCTCTGTTCCGTGACGCTCTGGCGAAGTCGCTCCTGAAGCGCGCCCGTCCTGAGATCCGCGACCTCTACAACATTCTTGAGGTTGACTTCCACCCTCTTTCCATTTGCCAGAAGATCTCCCCCATCCTGACCAAGATTGGTGACGATGCCGAGATGGAGAAGTATGTCCTGCCTCTGCAGCAGGTCATCCTCACCCGCCTCTTCCAGCAGCTGTCTCAGGTCTACGAAACGGTGGACCTCAGCTTTGTTGAGCAGCTCGCCAAGTTCCCTGAGCCTTTCCAGGTTACTCGCGGTACCATTGAGAAGTTCATCATGAACGGAAACAAGAAGGGCGATCTCGCCATCCGCATGGACCACGCTACTGGTGTCCTAAGCTTCGACAACGATGTCTTCTCGTCCGCCAAGGCTGCTCACTCTGCATCTGGCGCTGGCTCCGCCGAGGCTGACGGCAGCTCCGTCCAGCGCCTCCAGAGCACCCCCTCTGAGATTGTCCGCTCGCAGCTGACCCGCCTCACCAAGTCTCTGTACACCACTTGCTTCTACATTGACCCTGAGTTCAACAAGTCCCGCGTCGATGCTCGGGAGGCCGCTTTGGCCCGTGCCAAGGCCGGCGCCGAGAAGGAGCACCGTGAGCTTCTCGCTCGCAAGGACGTCATTCAGAAGCGCAAGGAAGAGGCTTCCGAGATCCAGGCTCGTAAGGAGCGTGAGAACGCCCGCCAGAAGCGCCTGCGTGAGCAGATCCTCCAGGAGCAGGAGGACAAGCGCCTTGCCGCCGAACAGAAGGAGCGCGAGGAGCGTCGCCTCAAGGCTGAGCGTGACCGCGTTCGCAAGGATGAGCTCAAGAAGCAGATCGCCGATCTCAAGATCAGCCCTAAGGATATGGATCTCGACCTGGAAGATCTTGACAACCTGGATCCTAACACTATCCGGGCCATGAAGGTTGCTCAGCTCGAGCGTGAGAAGAACGACGTGTCCGAGAAGCTTCGCATTGTGTGGAAGCGTGTTGACCACTTGGAGCGAGCCTTCAGGAAGGAGGAGGTCAAGAAGCTCGGCGCCGATTACGAGGAGCAGATTCAGCGTGACCGTGCTGCCTACGAGAAGACCAAGGCGCAGACGCTCAAGGATGCCGAGATCAAGCACAAGGAGAGTGTCGAGCTGAAGCACCGTCTCACTCGTCTCATGCCTCACTTCGAGTCGTTCCGCGAGAACCTGCACTCCCGCCGCGGAGAGGAGTTTGAGAAGCGCCGCAGGGATGCAGAGCGGGAGCTCGAGAAGCAGATTGCGGCTCGCAAGAAGGAGTACCGCGACCGCAAGCTGCGTGAGAAGCGCGAGCGCGAGGAGAAGGAAAGGGCTCTCCGCGAGGCCGAGGAGCGTGCCGCCAAGGAGAAGGAAGAACAGGAGGCCCGCGCCGAGGCCAAGCGCGCCGAGATGCAGCGCCTCAAGGAGCAGCGCGATCAAGAGCGCCAGGAGTCTCTGGAGAAGGCGGCCATGCAAGCCCGCCGCGAAGAAGAGGCCCTCGCCAGGCGCAAGGCGGAGAAGGAGAAGGAGCGCGCGTTGCCCCCTATGCGCAGTGCCGCCGAGCCCAGCTCCGAAGGTCGCCGTCCCCTCAACCTTCCCGGCGCCGGCAAGTGGCGCGAGAAGGAGGCTGCTCGCGGTGCCGCCGGCGCCTCAGACAACGCGCCGCCCGCTCCCCGGCAATCCGCCCCCATGGAGCGCACCGACTCGAGCGATCGGGCCGGCGGCCCTCCCCGCCTCAGCCTTGCTGGCAGTGGAGGCAAGCCCAGCTGGCGCGAGCGCGAAGCGGCGCGCGCCGCTGCTGGCGGTGCTGAGAACAGCGCTCCCCCGCAGCGGTCGGAGCGCCTGGAGCGCCCGGAGCGCACTGCCTCGGGCGGTGCCCCCATGGGCCGCACCGCCTCGAACCGCGACGACCAGGGCCGTAACGCCTCGCCGGCGCCCGCGACTGAGCAGCTCAAGGCGTCGGGAGCCCCGGGCAAGTGGGTGCCCCGGCACCTGCGCAAGGAGTAAATGGAATACGGCCACAGGGGCAGTATTTAAGGATGATGAAGGGAGGGGGAAATAAGGAGGTTGCGCAAAAAAAACCTGCATCGGAGTTCGAGGCCTTGCTTTGGTTGAGAGATTTTCTTACCCAGTCATTCACACGTTGTACTCTAGAGATACGAAGGTCGTCTCCCGTCCTAAGCAGATAGGAGGAGGCGGCGGCAGACTGAGTCGGCATCTTTGCAAGATGTTGGATTCATGGCCGTAAGGTAATGATCTTGAACGTTTCTCTGAGACTAGCCATTTTTGCCTGCTCTGGTTCGACCGATGCCTGTCTGTGCCTCGTGATGATTGTGGTGAGGCCCACGTCGAGGGCATGCCTGGCGAAGTGCCAGGTCATCTTGTCAGTGGCCTAACGCGGTGATGAAAGCGAGGCCAGGTTCAGCGGCGTCACGGAATGTTTGCTAGAACTATGGTAGCTAGGTGAACTGCTGCCGCTGTTGTCATAGAAGAGCAATGTCTCCCAAACACGCCAAACCCGCAGCTGGGCCACAGGCAGCCTCTCAATCTCAGCCACGCCACCAATGCTTTGGGTAAGAGCGAGCAGGGCGCGCGAAAGAGCATGTGTCAATACAGCTATATGTCCCAAGTGCCGGACCGAGACGCCCCCCATGAGTCCATGACCACCACGCAAGCTTTGGGCCTCTACAAAGCAGTGGTCTTTCTGGGGCTAAGCTAGCAGGCCCGGGTGCACGGGCGGGTGTGTTTCTGCTTCAAAGAACCAGTTCCCTTTTCCGGAGGTCAGGGCGATTGCTTTGTAGAGGAGGGCGAAGTGCGCCGGCCTGGGCTAGCCGCGGGGCGAGAGAGAGAATTGGAGCCATCCGGACGATACCTTACTTGGGACTGCCTGGGACCGCGTACTGTTAGGTAGAGCTCGGCTAACCGTGCACATGTCTTGCACAGAACTTGCGCCAGGTGCGGTATCGCTTGAGGGACTGGGACGCGAGACTTGTGGTGAGAAAGGGGACTAGGGCTCAACGGGGCGGTTGTCATCGCATGCGGTGTTGGTCGACCTCGCGACCTCGCGAGCGAACAAAGGGGGTGTGGGTGGTGGTAGTAGTGGCGGTGGGCTGAGGTGGGCGGGCGGGAAGATGTCTACAATGGCAAGCGGCAAGCGGCAAGGGAGATAACAGGAGCGTTTCATGTCACGAACGAAGCAGGCTGCGTTGGCAAACTACGTCAGTGAGGTTACGATGATGGGGGAGCATGCGTCCGTCACGATGTATGCCGGATTGCCGGGCGTGGAAAGCGGGTGATCAACCGCAAATCATCAGACACAACAGGAACTCGAGGTCCGGGCAGGGAGGAGGCCATTGCTTGGGTTGTCGGTCCGGGTCATAGAATTGTCGGAGATAGCTGGGTGGTTGTTGGGCATCTTGGCCTGCTTGGCTTTGGTCCATAACACAATGGGGTGTTAGGCCCTCGTCTGAGAGTCAGAACTCTCTGTGCTCTTTTTTCAAGTTGTCCAGCGGCCGTTTGTCTTTGTTGGTCTGGGTGGATGAAGGGGTGGGCAACCTGTAGGTAGGTAGGCACTGAGAAAAAAAGAAGTCGTGTTCTGCGGCTGCGATCGGAAATGAACTGATGGTACCGTGACAGTCACCAGAGAGAGTGGTAGGCTACTCGTGCTGGCGGCCAGCGTCGCTGTTTGGTCTCTGGAGCCCATTGCTGTCGTGGATTCGCTCGTATCGCAGTGTTGCTTGCTGTTTGTTCATATTTTAGGTTCTGTGGCAAGGCGATGGGACCAGTCAAAACCACATGGTGAGTGGGATAGCAAGTGGCGGTCATTGATGCCAGGAGGATAGAGTAGAGGAGGATAGACAAAGAGAACAAAGAAGGAATCGAGAAGACACAAAAAGACGACGACGCAAAGGGAGGTAGCAATGGCTGGGTACCTAGGTAGGTAGGTAGGTAGGGTCACGATGTACCAACATGCCTATAGTTCCTGCCTGTACTGCATTGCACCTGTCAGGTCCCCCTGCTCCTGCTGCTGGCTCCGGCGGCAGAGGCCGCTACTGCAGGAACCCTGGAGCCTTCTGCTGGGCCACCTCATGGCGGCGCTAACCTCCCTGAAGTTACCTAAGCTAGCAGTTTTTCCCTATTGGTCATGCGTCCCGCCAGAAGAGGCAACACTCTCGGGCAACCACCCACCCGTTCGTTTTCCCTCCGACTAAACATCCACCAGACATCCGACGACCAAACAACCCAACGAATCCCTGCCCCCTCCAAGGGAAAGCCCCTGGAGCCATGTTCTTCAACGTCCAGCAGCAGATCCGAGCCTGACTGCTAAGGAAACGGAACAGTCCAACCCGGACTAGCCCTGCATTACCCAACAGGGGTCTCAACCTCACCGACGGCCTGGCGCTCAGGTGGATGGAAAAAGATGGATGGATGCCTGTGGATGACTCGGCAGTCAGTCCTTCCCATGCAACACAGCACAACAGAGCACAACATGGTCCGTCGTGTACCATGTACATCGTCTGGTCATTCGTTGAGTATACAGGCTGTCCGCGGGCTCGGCACAGTCACCGTCCCCCTGGAAGTAAAAAAAAAAAAAACACCAGTCTTGATCTTGCCTCGATGTAGTTAAACCTATATTCGAGCGAATTGACGAAAGACGCACACCTACATGTACCTGTCCGGGGGCATCGTAGGGTCAAAGAGCGACGTCGTATTCCCTGCCGCAGTTCGATGGACCAAGACGTTGCCATGGCTGTGGCGTTGCTTGTCTTGAAGCGCCAACCTGGCGCTATTCAGAAATCGCGGCCACGGGTTCCAACGACGCCTGGTATATAGCCTCCAGGGGTTGGCCGCCTCCAGCTGCCGTCTTGTTCCCCTCTCTCCTCATCCATCATCACGCTTCTTGAGTTTCTTGGGGCAGCCTGTCCAGAGACCAGACATTGGTGCTTCAAGCTTGTTTGCTTCTCTGGAGAAGACCCTTTTTGTTTCTCTCGCAGTCACTCGTTTCCACCTACGCTACTGTCATGGCTCCCGTCAAAGCCTGGGCTGCCTTTGCTGCCCTTTCCCTCGTTTCCACTGTCCAAGCCTGGCACGTTGAGCTGCCGCCTTGCCTCGACAACTTCCAGCCCTTTGTGAACTCTGGCTGTTACGCAAACACCGATGGCAAGTCTATGCCGTACCGCTCATCCACGAGCTCTCGTGAGATGACTGTCGAGAAGTGCACTGCCGAATGCAAGGGTACGTCGGCCATATCCTCCCCAACCTCATCTTGGTACTGACACATCCCAGGCAACGGATACCGCTATGCCGGCCTCGAGTACTACGGCATCTGCTACTGCGGCAACACCGTCAACGGCGCCGAGCTTGCCGCCGGAGATTGTAACTTTCCCTGCAACGGCGACAAGAACGAGACCTGCGGCGGTGACAGGAAGCTTTCCGTGTTCGAGGACCGCACCTTCCCCGCCACTGACGCCGTGACCATCGAAAACTATGTTGACACGGGCTGCTGGACCGACCATTCCCAGATCGGCAAGTCTCTCTCCTGGCCCCAGGACCAGCTCGACAAGTCCGTCATGACCCCTAGCCTCTGCACCGAGGCCTGTCGCCAGGGCGGCTTCCCCTATGCTGGTGTCGAGTACGGTCAGGAGTGCTGTGCGGCGCCGTCATGGGCAACGAGACGCGCTCCGTCGATGCCTCCGCAGTG